TGCTGTTGTTCATCTCCATGATTTGATAAAATACCTGACAGAATCAACTTCAGAAGGAGTGGTTTATTGGAGCCCACAATTTCAGAGAATTTTCAGTCTATCATGGCAGAGAAGGCCTGGAAGATTTCATGGCTTTGGTAATCTGTGGTGGAGGTACCTTCATTGTGATGGACCAGAAAGAGAAAAGTATTCATACCTAGCCAAGGACAGATATAAACTTCAAAGATCTACCCTAGTGCTCTACTTCAGCAGCTAGGCTTTATGTCCCAAAGGTTCTGCAAACTATCAAAATAGTGCCAGCAACTGGAAGCAAAGTATTTAAATAGGAGCCTCTGGGGGACATTTCACATTCAAACTGTAACACCCAGGATATCAGAGGCAAGGGCTTAACCAGGGCTTTTGCTGTCGCTTAGTGGGACCTGCTAACTTTAAAAGCTAGAAATGTCCATGTTCCCTCTCCTTTGGCTCTCTTCAGTCCTGCTTATTCAACAATGAGAGGCTATAACAGCACTCTCCCTTCCATGTTCTAAATTCCATTAGGAACTTTTGGGATTCAGATTGATTAAATAAGAGTTCTATTTGGTTCATACCATTGTCATCTGTAGTCACTTAGGGTAGTATTAGGGTGCAGCTTCAAGCTTGGGATACTTTGAACTCTTTTCTTCCATGTGTTGGCTCCTTCATGATATCATAATGACCAGAAAGATTTCGGGCATCTCAGCAGCATATTGCATCTCCATGAGTTAAAGAAAGAACCGGTGTCCCAGAATGTCAGCATCTTAGGTCACATGCCTACCACCGAATCACTCATTGTGACGAGGAGACTAAAGTGCTTAGTTGATTTAGTTGCTACCTACATGTCCCATCCCTCAAGCCCCAAACCACATGGATCTGGCAGTAAATCATCCCCCAGAGAGGCAGCTGGCATGTCAGTATTTTGGAAGCACGTCTACCTAATACACAGGAATGTATCTTTGCCCAGGCTTCTACCCAGTCTTGCCAATGAGGCCTGAGCCATAATCTTTGGTGAGGTGGCAAGTACGAGGGGATTTACAGAACCACTAAAAACTGAAGTTCACTGCCATTGGTGACAGTAAGGGATGGTAAATCAAATGACCTTCTGTCATTTCTTAGCATCTTGCAAACATCTCACTTTGGTGTAAACCACAAAGAGGAAGGCAAGTCAGTAATGATTGAGACGGACTTTCCCATAGCTTGGCATGTGGTTTGAAAGTTACAGATAATTTGACAAAACTTGGCAATGTTTTTTTTGTGGCGCTGTCAATAGGGACTGTGCCATTGTGTAGCTTGTGATAAATTTAGGCAGTCTGTACTAAAGCATTTTTGGAGTGGACCCACAGTAAAAACATTATTCATGAATATGGCCTGATGACATGCTACTACCAATGTAAGATGAATGACATGTCACTGACATTGTGTTTCTGTTGCTTTACTTCAACAAATATAAAACTAATAAAGACTCTCTTACAAAGAGAAAACTTTAAACTTACCACATAATCATCAACATGTCAACCCAAAATACAAATAGCCCTAAGGGTTTAGGGAATCACACCTGAGGTTGCTAAAATTGCGTCATTCTTACTAGTAATTAAAATACTATTTATTCATTTAAAAATCATTGTAATAACTTGTGAGGACACCTTTCAGAATAGTCCTCTTGTGGGTGAGTATAAGAGTTGCTTCCAAATTTCTAATCAGGGCTTCCGGTCAAGTCCTTTGTTAGTATCAACAAGTCTGGGAGGCAGGACTGGAAATTCTAGGGTAATTCTGAAATTAGCTCTCTTAGAAGATGTTTACAAGTTCAGTCAAATATCTAAGATCTTTAAATAAAATGAGAATTGGAACTATTTTCATAGCATTTGCTAGTAAAGTCTGCAAAGGTTCTTGATAGCATTGTGTTTGAAATAGCACACATTTCCCAATAATAAAATTTATATATTCAAAAAATTATTTATTTTTATGTTTTTGAGTGTATTGCATGCATATATGTGAGTGTACCCATGTCATGCAAAGCCCATAGAGGCCAGAAGAGGGTTGTCAGATCCCCTGGAACTGGAATTATGGATGGTTGTTAGTGGCCATGTGGGTGCTGGGAACCAAACCCAGGTCCTCTGCAAGAGCACCCAGTGCTGTTACCCACTGAGCCATCTCTCCAGCCCCCAAATTTATATTTTTATTCAGAATCTGGCACTGAACAATATGGAGGCTTCTCTAGCTCATTCTTATATTGCAATGTACATGTAGTTTGCTTGTATGTGTGCATGTGGGTGTGTGTGCCAAGGTGTTGGGTGTCTATCATTATCCCGTTTTTCAACTAGGTATCCAGTAAGCCCCAGTCCTCCTGTTTCTGATGCCCACAGCAGTAGGGTTTCAGGCACAGGTGAAGCCACATCTGGCTTGTTACATGGGTGCTGGGATCTTAAGGCAGGTCCTCATGGTTTCACAGGAAGGGCTGTTAAATTCTGAGCCATCTCTCCAGCCCCTGTTTTTGTTTTTGAATATCTAATTACAACATCATTTGAGGAATTGTAACCTATTTTTTAATGTGTAAATATATGTTGGTGTTTTATGAAGGGCCTCAGAAAATTGTAAGCAAAAGAAAAACAGATTACAGGCTATTATATGCAAATACTGTTAAATTGAACATGATGGCATTGCTCTTCTTTGAGGGGGAGAATGGATTTAAGTAATCAAAATAACAGATGTACTTTTTGTGTGTGCTGTGATCTAACAATAATAAATAAAAAAACAAAAATAAAAGCCATACATACAGCAATTTACATCTTGACTTTTACAGATAGTAATTTCATGATAGTGGATAAAAATGAAAAGATTATAACTTAAATGTCTCACATTTTTATTTATATGAAGGTAGCTATTCTCACAATCTTACAGATGTTACAGAATTGAGCCTTTGTGCTCTTACATGTGGAACTCACAATTTTAACCAGCTTGGAACAAACATATCTGGAATGACATTTGTAGTGCCAAACAAATGGAAACATCTGAAGTTGATTGCTGAGCTTTTTAGAGAGCAGGGGAATAATGACATTTTTTTTTCCCCTCTCATTTTCAGTTCTCGGGGTATTTTGTTGTTTCTTGGGTAAGAAAATATCACCCTCGGCCAGGCTTGGTTCTTGATGAATAGTGATGAGCAGTGAACTGTGGAAGATCAATGATGGAATATTATCGACCCCTAGTGGTCACAAGCAGGGCCTCAGCATGGTTTTTGTTTTCCCATCAACAAATGATGTAGTAAGAATAAGATTTATGAAGGCTAAAAATCAAACCCTAACTTCCACTTGTTCCCACCGCACCTCACATCTGGTCTGCTTTTGTCATTCTCGGCTGTCCCTTCAAATCAGCTGCATTCAGCTAACAGCTAACATCACAAAGCTCATCTCAGAGTGCTCCTTTAATCCGTGAGGAAGGCTTAAAGAAGTAACAGTGCCCAAATCCCTTTTCTTTACTCGAATTGAATCAAGTGTTTATGCTAGGAAGAAAAAATACTTTGAAAACATATCCTGTTTTCTTATACATGAAATATTGTCCACTTTTAGAGATGTCTTCCTAGTAAGTATAAATAAAAACTCACACGGAACAAAATTTTCTAGAGTAGCACAACAAGGAATGCAGATAGAAGGTGTTTTTTTGTTGTTGTTGTTGTTTTTTTTTTTTATCACAGTTCCCTTAGCCGCTTTTAGGAAACAGGAAAGAGAATCTTATTTTTTCCCCAGCAGCTGATTCGGTAATCAAGAAAATAAAACACCCAGAGGGTGCACTACTTAGACTTTAAAGCAATAACAGGTATTTTGGAGTTGATATTAAACATTGTACAAAGCAGAACAAATGCTTGCTAAAAAGGGTATAGGCATTTGGGGGCTTTTTTCCACCTTGTTTTAATGAGATGGGACAAGTTGTTTGTGTCAATGAATTCATGTTCTTGTGTCTGAGGAAAATTTTTGGTTTCAGGGCAGGGTCAATCTACAGAAAAGCCTATGATCACTCATCGCAAAAGTCTTCTTGGGTCAACAGTGCTACAGCAGCAACTGTGTTTCCATAGCAACCCTGGGATGGGGTTAGCCAAGAAAAAGCAGGGCCCCAAGGGGAGATAACAGAATGAGGACTATGGTATTGGGGGAAAAGACACACCCAGCAACATAAAGGTATGGTAGAAAGGGATGCCTATGTTCCCCACTTCACAGATTCTATTTTGATATCAAATCTGACTAACTAAAAATAAATAAATCAGGCTAACAAAGTCAACAGAGGCAACTGGTAAGTAGTTGTTTATTTAATCATTACTATAAAGGATAGGCACCCAATGTCCTGGAAAGACCTCTGTTACTTTAGCTTAAAAGAGAAGAAATAAATCACTTTGGATAAACAAATTTGCTACAGATGTTCCTAGGAAGATAATGTTATAATTTGGACCAAATGAAGAGTTAATTTTTGATATCTTTTATATTTCCCCTCATTCGTAAACATTCCCTGAACAAGGTGGGGAAATTGGAGATTTTTAAAGTCTTTATGTAGTCTCCATTATGGCTATTTTTAAAAAATGTGTGTTTGAGCATGTTAAATAAAAAAATATATCATTCTGGGGCTGGCGAGATGGCTCAGCCATTATGAAAACTGGCTGCTTTTCCAGAGGACCCTGGTTCAGTTCCTAGCACCCACGGGGTGGCTAACAATCAATTAGCCAGTTTCAGATCTGTGGGATCTGATGCTCTCTTCTGGCCTCTGTGGGTATTGCTTGACACAGATGCACTTACATATATGCAGGCAAAACACTCATATCCTAAAAATAAATAAATAAATAAATAAATAATATTTTGAATAAAAAATTAAAAGTTACATATATAAATAAGTTAAAATGGAGATTTACTTGTATGTTGATGTCCTCAGGATAGTGGAATGCCTAGGTAGGCACTACAGAGAATGCCCCCACAGAACCTGGAAACACAAGGGACCTTGAATTGTCTTAATGCATGTGTTTAACCATCAGGAGTATATAACTACAGCAACAGCATCCTGAAGCCAGAGCCTACAAGTTCACATTGCTGTAGAGGTCCATAATCCTGATAAGGATGATAATAACTACTACTACTAAAAATTTAGACAGCTCACAACAGTACACAGTGTTTTCCTGTCTACTTGTTAAAAGTGGGTGCTGCTATTTTTCTGCATTTTATAGAAAGCAAGCTTTGGAGAAATCATTGCTTTTTTCCAAACAACTAGTAAGAGAAGGAATTGACATTCTAGATATTTTTCCAACAAAGTGCAAGGTAATGACATCTAGGAGCTCTTCTCCCTCATAGATTTTGGTTTAATGTGAAATCTTAATGAAGAACTTAGAAACCATTTTTTTTTTATTTCAATGGTTAACTCTCCAACATTGATTCTGTTCAACCTAGAAGCATAAATTTGTGAAATAACTTTCAGGTCCCCTTCTTTCTTGACCTAACTTAACAGCTATACCTATAGCCCAGCATGATGCATAAAGAAATGGTAAAATTATTTTTTAAATACCATAAAAAAGAAATCAAGTCTGGAGGGAGCTCAGGATTCTTGGGTTTAGGGTTTGGCTCTGTGTGAGCCTGACATCACTCTTAATCTACATCTGAGTTTTCTTTGGTGGGCAAAATTATTTCTGGATATTTTACCTTTAAATGCATTCTTACAGGCTACCAAAAGTTTGTCAGTAATTAATCAAGCAGTCAAAACCATTTTAATTACTCTTCATTTTAATATTGTCTTTAGTCTTGAAGCATGTGTGTGTTTCAGAGTGCAGACAGAAGGTTTTAATACCCTGGAAGCATTTTGACCAGAAAAATGGCAATGAACAGAGCTTGAACATGTGGCTCCAATGCAAGATGGCCTTCTATTCTGTGCACACTTCATCACGGAAGGTTAAGAAAAGCCTACTGTCATTTATTCACACATTCTTTCAAAAGGGTATCAATCCTCCTGGTGATTATCAAGATTTTATTTTCTAATATAAGTGTCTAAAATGGTATCAAGACACTTGCTATCTGATTGTTTTGTGTAAGGGGAAAGAATGGATAAGACAGAGAGAGGGAGGAGTAAAGGGAAAAGTAGGGTAGAAAACTCTTTAACAATTCTTTGGTTTGGAGAAATGCTTACCCGTGCCTACCTAAAGTGAGGTAGAGTAAATTCCGTAATGAAGATTTGCAACAATACATTATATCAAGACTCTTTACATACATAATGCCAAAAGGAAGTCTATGAGTGTAAGATTTCCTATAAATATCTCTGTCTGGATTTAAATATCTGAGCATTTCAATTATCAAGCATTCAGCTATACATTTAAAGGAATTTAAACAAAACTCAGAGCCCATTTCCTTTTACTTTATGTATAAGCTTGGAACTAAGTTTCCAGAAGGATATGAACTTCATGAAGCTTCATGAGAATATTTTTTCCACAACCCCTGTACTTAATGGAAAAATTCAGTGTATGGAATGGCTTCAATATTTGTTAATGAATGAAATTAGAAGTATTACTTAGTAGCTAGGATTGTTGGAGACAGGTTCATAGAGATGGGAGAACTGGTGAATAGAGCACTAAAAATCATAACCATCAGATTGAATGTTGTTCATTTAAAGGTTAGCAGTCTATAGGCCTGTGAGGGATTATAGCACAGATATAAAAAGAACTGCCATTCACAACTGTGATCCCAACTTATTAGACAATATTAAAATTCTATTTAATAAAAGACAGGGTAGCAGTTGTACAATGTATCTTTAAAATATTTCCACTGGGCGGGAACAGTTGATCCTCCCATGCTATATTTCCTTTCCAAAATGTAATTTTGATTATGTAATATTATTCATCTTAACCTCTCTCCATTCTTTAATCTATTCCATAAGCTCTAATTCTATAGTATCTCTGGTGGACACAGAAAATATGTCTTGCTTTTGTCTTTGTGACCTATTGCACTTCCCAGCACACAATTTAAATATATTCCACATATCAGATCTCCCTGTTTCAGTTACAAAACAGTACAGAATTGGGTCAGCAACACAGTTTAAACTTGTCAGTGCCACTGTGATTCTGTACATTGTAAATGCTTTCTCTCCAGACTTAGTGACATTCACATCACGCTCTAGAATGCAGCGGATTAGAACCATCACATGGAAGGGGGTAAAGCACAGCACGAAAGTCAACGTGATGCCAACAAGCAACTTTATGATTCTTATCTTTTCACTGTTTTCTGTGGCTTGATTGTGCCGCACAGCTTGGTAGACTTTATGGTTGCAAATCATGATGGTGACCAAAGGCAGTGCATAGCCTGTACAAGTTCTAAACAAGTTGAGGTTTATTTGCCACTTCTCTAGAGGGTATTTGTCATAACATAGAGTAAAATTAGACTTCTCAACATCACAGTATTCAACAGCTGTCTCATCTTCCCACAAAATGACAGCATTAAAGATGGATTCCAATATCCAGATAGACAGGCTGGTTGTGAATGCAAATCTTCTTGTTCTTAGAAAAGAAAACTTCAAAGGATAGACAACTGCTAAATACCGATCAAAGGCAATGCAGGTCAGGAACGCTGTGCTGCTATAAAAGTTCATGTACGTGAAGAAAGCACTTCCTTTGCACAAAGCAGAAGAGAAAGTCCAGTTGTCTTTATTCCAAGTGTAATTAATCCAGAGAGGCAGAGTCAGTGCATACAGCAAGTCTGACAGTGACAAACTGAAGAGGTAAATCCCTAGTTCGTTTTCCTTCTTTGCTTGCAGAAAGGATACACATAAAGATCCAATATTGGCTGGGACACTGACTATAAAAACAAATATGTAAACCACTGGGAACAAATAGTGGTCAAGGTCATGCTGTTCTTCGATACATGTGCTGTTCATTGTCATTTTTTATGGTGGCAATTACATTAGTTCTTAGGAGGCAAACAGGAAAAGAAGCCTTGCCTCACAGTCTTTCAACATTAAGTTCTCTTTTTTACTAGGATTTAAAAAATATCTTTGGTTTCTAAAGTTCTCATCAATTCATCAATGAATTTAGAAGATAGTATAGATCAGTTTTTCATATAGACTATTAATCACTAGATTCCTTGAGGTTACCTAAAGTCATCAGCTGAATTTAATGAACAGAAGTCTGTACAGTCGTTATTACAGAGTGTTTAGCTTCCAGAAAGTGCTGAACTCTTTTTCCATGAATTTCACTGAAGGTTGCAGATTGGTAAAAACACAAATATATAAGTCTCTATTTTCTCAGACACTGACATTCTTTTTAAACAGTGCTTGATTCTGTAGGAAAGATGAACTAAAATATAAAACAGATTAGATAGTTACAAGGTAAATAACCTTATTAAATCATGATTTTGAAGCAGTGTTTTTCATTTATTGAAAATATCAAAATGCTTTAAATTAACTGAAAATGTTTAAATGAAAAAAATCAATCAATTTTAGCAAACAAAATCAAGCTGAAATATTTTGCCTAATTCAAACAAGATTTGACTAAATGATGCTAGATTACAAAGAATTATATTTCTCACCAGACATAACTGACAACCATAACCAAAGATTTTTTTAACCATTAAAGCCATTTTAAAGTCTAGAGATAGAAAACTCAATTATTTGGATATGATCAGTAAATACTTTTTATTTTGTTGGTGTGTAGGATTAAGTAAATGCTTCTGAGTGTTAGTAAACTATAAGTTATATAATTTATAAATATTGTTTTAACATATAATCCTAGTATAAGGCACTTAAAACCAGCTTATTGGATGAGAAAGTATTTTCACGATAAATATGATAAAGTTGAATTTAAAATAGTGGTTTGTTAAATCTTAATGCACAACTAAGCAAACTTCCCTCTTCTATCTGTCTTTTTGTTACTTGCGTATCACTCACTCGCCTCTCTTGATTTTAAGAAAGAAGACAGAACTATCTCAATTCTGTTAAAATCTTGTGGTTGCTAACTTCCATCATTAGGTCTGGTTGGTTATAATAGTCACTCCTTTTTAAAGTTATGATATCATAGAGTAATTTGGGAATAAGGGGTCCATCCTTTTCTTCATCCCAGAGTACGGGAATGCTTCTAATTCCTTTGTTAGTGGAGCCTTGTGGTGGTTTGGATGATTCACTTGGTAGGACCTCTACAGAAAGCTTATGGGGACAGTATGCTGGCCATTAGAGCCATTCCCTTCCAAGTATAGATGAGTCTTAACCACAGGAGGATCTGCTATCACAAGGAATGAGGATATTTGTGATAGAAGAAAAGAAAGTGGGAGTTGAGAACAGGAAAGAGCGAGAAAGCTGTGGATAGTCTGGAGGTATGTGTGGGTAGAAGGGACAATTCAGACCTCTGGATCAGAGAAACTAGGCACAAAACTTGCACCCATACAAGCAGAAAGGGATCCTCTACTGTCCTATACACACTAGAATCTAGGAGCCTCTTTCTCTGGGAAAGGGCAAACCAGAGAAGAAGAGAAACTAACAAGTGCCACAGACATTTAGAGACAGCAAAGGAAACCTGGTGAATTATCTTCTTTAGTGTGGCTTATGTGAGGAGTTACAAGAAAAAAAATCTTCCCAGCAGGTCCTTACTTGAAAAAGATCTGAGTCTGCGCTGTTAATTTGATTCATGCACCCTATATGCTCAGTTTCACTAGTCATCAGGGAGATAGAAACTGAAACCTCAATGGGATTTCAGTAACACTCCCACCAGAATAGAATGAAGACAGAAAATACCAAGTGTTGGTGATGATGTAGAATGCTTGACTCATCTATACTGTTGGCTGGAAAACATATGCATACCATGTGATTCAGCAATTCCACTGCTAATTATGTTTAATAACACACACACACGTTTATTAAACAGTATGGATTAAAATCAGAGTGTCTACAGTAACACTGTTTCTAATATTCACCAACTAGAATACCCACTAGCAGACTAGATAACATAGTTGATATATTAACATAATTGAAATGTATATGTCAATGAAAATATTTTCATTTTATCCTACACATAATAATAGAGATGAAACTTACTAATACAATGATGACAGACAAGACCAGCACAAAATAGTATGCATTACCTGATAAAAGCTAAGCAAAGTTAATCTATGCTATTAAGAATCAGTGAGTGATTACCTTTGGAAGGGTTAGACAATGCCGAAAGAGGGTGATGGGGGACTTCTGAGAATCTGGTAGTGTTCCGTTTCATGATATGAATATTGATTGACTGAGCATGTCCAGTTTGTAAAAATTTCTCAAGCTACATACTTTGTATGAATATATTTAGTTTTTAAAAATTGATCCAGCTGTATATTTTGGATATGTGTGTTTATCTGAACAAATATGATGTAAGTAAAAGGTTAAACAGTGGAATCAAAAGCGTATGTAAGAGGGTATAAAAAGTACCTTGACAAACATGTTTGACATGAAGATGGAGCTGTATACCTCTCTAAGAAATATGATTTACTTCTTTCTTATATAAAATTCAATTCAGAAAAAACAATACAATAAACGAAAAATACTTTAAATGATTCTGGAAATAAATTCACCCCAAATAAAAGTTTACTAAATGAAAAATAATTAAGTTTTAAGGATGAAGAAAACACAAGTTTTCCCTGAAGAAGTCTCCCTCAACCTAGGCTTCAAAGAATTCCACAGATAAAGTTCTGACAAACATGACCTCATTAAAACACGCACACATAAGGGCACATATACAGGAGGAAGGGAAGTGGGTGTACAAAAGCTTTAGACAAAATAAGTCCACATATAACATAAAACAAGTGTATTTAATCAGTTTAAGGAAATAAAAGATGGAATTAGAACACACAGATGAAGAGAAGGAAAGCACAGAAGCCAGGAGTGGGGGCTCACTCCTGAGATCCTAGGAGAGGGATGCTGTAACAGGAGGAGCACCGTGTTTGCTGTCAGCCTGGGCCATAGAGTGAAGCCCTGTCTCAAAAAAGGAAAAAGGGGAGGAAGGATGAATAAGAAAGAGAGAGAAGTAAGAAACGGGAGAGAGAGAAACATAAAATATGACCAGACATATTTTGTAAAAAATAGAATATTTTTTATTTCTAGAAATAAAAAAGTACCAGTAAAAATTCTTCAGAAGAGAAAATTAGTATATAAATAAAGAAATCAACACAATGATCCATGCATCAGTGTTAATGAGATGGGAAAATACCAAGGGGGTGTGGAGAATAAATTGAAAAGGTCTGTATATGTCTAACTGGAGTTCCATAAAGAAGAAAAGGGAGACCAGTAAGGGCAATGTTCACAACAGGATGGTTGACTGATTTGTAATGCTGAAGAAGGGCATGAAGTTCCCTGACTTAGGAAGCCTAGCCAGTCTCAGATGGACAAAAGTGAAAAAGCAGTGCTGAGACACATTACTATCAAACTGCAGTGACCAAAAACTAAGAAAAAAAGAGCCAGAGACGAAAGATGGACTCCCAGCAAAGGATGTTTTTACACTGACAAAAGGCATACTGAAAACAACTGAAACAAGAAGACAGAACATTATGTTTCTATATTACTAAGAAAACTTCATATATCATTTTATAATTATATGTCTAATGGAACTAAATTGCAAGAACCAGAGCAAAATTTAGACATTCCAGGTAACTACCACGGAGAAAATTTACTCCCAAATTCTTGAAGAACCCTCTAAAGGCTATAAATATATAAAGAAAAATGGTACCAATATATCATCAAGCTGCAGAAGACGGGGCTCCCGTGAATGTCATCATATGCTCTAGTAAACTTTGTCTCTGAGGGAAAACACCTGAACTATAAAAAGTCTCTTCCCTTGAGACCAAGAATGGGGGCGGACAGGGTGTGCCTCTTCCTCTTTTGTCAGTGATACTGAATAAATACGCACTTTTCTCTATAAAAAATGTGACAGAGTACACAATCTTAGGGAGGCTTTAGAGTTCTCATTGGAATGAACTTCCCTAGCTGTAAAAGCGTTTTTTTTTTTTTTTTTCCTTTGCTGAGAGCAACCATGAGGCAGAATGGCTTGATGAGGCAGACATTGCATGTCTGTTGGGCATCAGAAGGAGCCTAAGCTCATGGTTGTCCTTTTACAGACTTTCAAAGGCCCCTGGGGATTGGTGATTCCTTGCATGTTAGTAGTATCCACAGCAGTGTTGCTATCAATGTTCAATGTGACCTGTGACGCCAAGAATCTAGCACGTGGTAAGCCCTCACCATATGTTAACATTGGTAGTGTAGTGCTCTCCTTTCTACTCTCTGATACATTTCCTAAAAGGAGGTCATGCATGACCATCTGGCAAGGGTATCACAGAGGAGCCAAGGCACACGCACACTAACTGTTGCAGATGATACTTATTAATTTAATGAGCGTGCATCTAAAAGCTTAATGGAGTACATAAAACCTCTTGTTCACACATCTTTCTAAGTGTTATTTTGGCTGCCCTAAACAGATTTTAAGAACTTTGTTTTTAGTGCCAGCACTGAAGATATGATTTAAGTTTTATTCCATCAAATGCCAAAAAAGGACGATCTATAGTAAACTGAAGTATTCTGCACCAATTCCAACAATAACACAAATACTTGATGACAATAGCCAAAAGGAAACTTCTACAGTATTATAAGAAATGCTTGTTTTCGTTTCTAAGTTTACTGGCTACTTATTAAGAGTCTTCATGTCTCAGACAGTGATAGTCACTCATTACTAAACAGTTATAACTGATGCTTATTGGTGCCAGAAACACAATTTCTTAATTACTCATGATTTCTGGTGATTATGAAAAGTATTACTAAACCCCTGTATGGATGAGGAAACAGTGCAGGCAGTTCTACAGCTGAGAAATGACAGAGATTCTTCCTAAACCATGCAGTTTGCCATAGGCTGTTTTCTGTAAAGAAAACAGAACACACGAATCCTCCTTTTTCATATCCATATCTTTACCTACCTAGTTCAAATTTTGAGTTTTGGCTTACCCTCACTGCTGCTCAAAGGAGAGGAAACCATGTGTCTTCCTCATTCTGCTTTCTCTCTTACAAAGCTTGGTCTTTTTATATTTACATAGCCCAAACCAGATAAATTCTTACAAACACTGCTGATGATTATGTTCAACTGTGCTATCTACTTTAAAATCTTATTCTAGTTTTAAATCTCATACTTACCCTGTTTCTGGAGTGATGCTTTTCTTGACTGAGACTGGCACATCTGTCTGTATCAAGAAGAGAAACCAGCACTGTTGTGGGGACAGGAAATTGCACTCTTATTTTGTCATTAGCCAATGAAGAAGCAGAATTTTAATGAGAAGGCTTATGTTATCTAAGTTCAAACAAAGAAGCCACTTAAGTACTTTAAATGATGTTTGGGTCATTTATTGTAGTGTAATTTTTATTTACTAAAATTCAGTTTTGTTATATCTTAATTATAAATGAATACTTATATGATTGCTTTTTGTGTTAAGTATATGTGTGTGAGTGTAGTATATGTACACGTGTGTACAGACGAGTCATCTGTGTTCACACTTGTGGAACCAGAGGATGTTGAGTGCCCTGCTTTACTGTCTCTGTCTTATTTCTTTGAGACAGAGTCCAGAACCTGGAGATAGACTGGCAACCACCAAGCTCCAGTGATCCTCCTATCCACATCCCAAAACCTTGCCAACTCTGGGGGTGCTGGCACATGTGTGGTCATGCCCAGTTTAAAAAAAAAATTATTTCATGTGTGGACTGTTTTGCCTGTTTGTAAGTACACCAATGTCATGCAATGCCTGTGGAGGCCAGAAGAGGGCATTGACCCTTGGAACTGGGTTCCAACTACCATGTGGGTGCTGGAACCGAAACCAGGTCCACTGCAAGAACAGCCAGTATTTTTAACCACTGAGCCATCTCTTCAGCCCTGTGCTCGTCTTTTTATGCCAGTGTTGGCATCTGACTGGAAGTCCTCATACTTGTGCAGCAAGCACTCTTACCCACTGAGCCAACTCTCTAGCCTGTGATATTTATGCTTTAATAGGTATGTTCCAGGTATTTAATTCCTTCATTTGTTCATTCTGTCAAAAAATTTTCTGTTATACTCTTAGTACACTGTGACTATGTTGAGAAATACATAGTGCCTGGCTATTACTCAGAAAGGAGCATACCACCAAGTAAAGGAGGGCCATTTGGTAACAACCAGGATGCAATGGCAGCACAGATAAGTACCTAGATATGTACAAATGAGATGGGATGAGTCATTTGGATATGCGAGATGGGAGAAGATGTTGTGGACCAATTTAGAGTGATTGAGTTCCTGGGAACAAGAAAGAAGAGAATGGTTGGGTAATTAATGGTAAATACTGTGGTTTAATGGCAAAAATGGAGTGGAGACATGGGGAGGTCAAGACAGCCAACTCCCTGTAATCCTTTTTTTTTTCCTTTTAAGAGACTAACAGGATTAGATATATAGTATTTGATTATAGAACCATTTTCCCCTTTGGTTCTCCTCTGAAAATAGAAAATATATTGTTAAAAGCAATAGATGTAGCTGGCCTAGGCAAATAAATAATCATGAAGTTTGAAAATTCATTTGAGAAAGATACAGATTGTTATTTTAAAAACATATGTAGTACTTTAACAAGGCAAAAGTTATCAGATCTAGGAAGTGCTTTAACATTAAGAGGGATTAGTTCCTAGAACTTCCTACTTTTGAGAAAAGTTAGACATCATTTTTAAAATGTGCCTTAATAAACTTTCATTAGAAATGAAGGCAAGAATATTACTTTATGTATGATATTAATTTAGAATGGAAAATTCAAAGTGCCCTCCCAAAGGCCCAAGTATTTGAAAACTTGGTCCCCAGTTTGTGGTACTGTTTGAGGGGGAGTCATGGAACCTTTAGGAGGTGTGGCTGTGCTAGAGAAAGCACATCCCTGGAGAAGGGCTTTGGGAATTCATAAACCTTGTTCTTGCTGCTGCCAGTTTCTCTCTCTACTTCCTGCACCTGCTTGAAGATGTGAACAGTCAGCTCCTTGTGCTGTCACCACTGTCACCATGCCTAGCCACCATGATGGACTCCTATCCCTCTGGAACCATAAGCCTAATAAATTCTTCCTTCTGTAAGTTGCCTTGGTTGTGGTCTTTTATCACAGCAACAGAAAAGTAACCAATGCAGAAGTTGGAACTGAGAGTGGGGTGTTGCTGTTTTGAAGAACCTGACCATGTTGGTTTGGGGAAGAACATGGAAGACTTTGGAAGTTTGGACTAGAAAGGCAATTGAATGTTGTAAGCAAAGCTTAATGGGCTGTTCTAGTGGTGGCCTGGCTCAAGGTACTCAAGAGGGAGAGGGAAACAAGGACTTAAACAGCAACTGAGACATTTTGGCAAGGAATCTGCCTGGAGGTTTAAGAAATTGCTAAATTGAAAAGTAATGGACTAATTTCTTTAGCAGAGAAAATTTCATGGTAGCCTAATGTTGTATTGGTGGTATGTGGTTATTAATGGTTGACTATTATACAGATCTACAATGAAAAATATCAAGTGGGGCGGAAATACAAAATGTACAATTTGGAGAGATACAGAGCACTAGGAATTGTAATGTTGCAGCCAAGGCACATTCTAGAAGAGAGGGTCTCTTTGATAAAGACATTAGAGCCCTTAAGGCAAGGTCTCTAGATTTGTAGTAGGACATGAAAGAGTGCCGTCAGGGCAAGGCCGCACCCTATTGAGATTCCAACTTGAGAAAGGAGAAACCCTAAGGAGTTGTGTGTTCCTAGAAAACCACAACATACAGAAACTGCTGGTGTGGCTGAAGGGGACCAAGGTCCATTCCAAGCTGGCAGCCAAACTTGGCAATGTCACTCACATGGTGCTGGCTTCAGGGGCATTGAAGATGTAAGAGTGAGGAGGTCATTGCTTCTTCTTCCATGGTTTCAGAGAGCCATTGAGGCCTGACAGTGTGTAGCAAGGGAGTCCTTATGAGAAGAGGCCCTGGGAGGCCAAGAGCCTGGAGAGGCCATTGCATGAAGCTGTTGAAGGTCAAGCCTGGTTGGCAATGGAGACCCCAATATGTTGGAGGTGCCAGAGCTGTGAGGCATCTGCCAAGGAGAGCTTCATACAGGGAGTGGTACCAGCCTAATATATATATTGCAGACAGGCAGCAAAGCTAGTGGGGCAGAACCATCTAAATATTTTGGACTAAAGTCCCAGAAGTTGGACATGGAACTACAGGACATGGTGATTGCCATGCTGGGTTCCTGTCTTGCTTTGGCCTGGAATTTCCTCAACATAGCCCCATTCCTCCCTTTGAAATGGGAGTGTAAATTCCCTGTCACTGTATGTTGAAAGTACGCAATTTGTCTTTTTTATTTCACAGGGGTTTACAGTTAAGAGAGTATCTTGAATCTCAGAAGAGACTTTGGTCATTGGACTTTTAAATAATGTTGAGACTGTTAAGGACTATGGGGACTATTAAAGTTGGACTCATTTTGCATTGTGATATGATCTTGAGCCTATGAGGGACATGGAGTGAAATGTGGAAGTTTGGATGAGGTATCTATCCCCCACGACTTCAAGTATTTGAACATGCCCTCAGTTCATGGTGCTCTTTGGGGAGGTATAGGAGGTTCAGCCTTGCTGGATGAAATTTTGAGAGTTCAAAGCTGTGTCCTATTTCCAGTTTCTCTTTCTCTGCTTTCCAAGCCTTACTGAAGATTTGAATGCTCAGCTTTCTGCTCCAGCTACCACTGTTGCCACACCTCCCTGGGATGATGGACACAACCCTCTGGAACCATAAGCCAAATAAACTCTTCCTTCTGTAAGTTTCTTTGCCATGGTGTTTTATCATACATAGAAGTAACTAAACATATAGTAACCAAAAATTTAGGCTATATTGCCACTGAAATGATGAAAAATTAAAGTACATGTAAAAATTAATAATAAAATGCTGAGACTAAAAAAGTGATTCACTTGGTAAAGCGCTTGGCTGGAAACATAAGGACCTGAATTCGATCCCCAAGACAAATGTATATATATATAAAAAAAAAAAAAACAGGTGTGGTGGTGGATGATTGTAATCATGGCACTAGGGAGGGAAAGATAGGCAGACAGACCCCTGGGGCCTGCTGGCCAATCAGTGTAGCCTACTTGACAAGCTCCAGGTCAGGAAGAGATCCTGTCTTAAATTATAAAGAAAAAAAAAAGGAGAAGGTTAATTCTAGCTGAGGAACAACTCCTAAGGTTGCTCTCTGACCCCCCACATGCTTGTGTTCACATGTGCATGTGCACACCCATATGAATCTGCACATGTATGAACACAAAAATGTAAATACATACACACAGAGAAAAGGTAAAAGGCTTGAATCTTTACAAAAATGAGAATAACAGTTTCCAAATAGTTGTGAATACAATCCAAAGATTTTCAGTTTTGCTTTTTGCACATCTGTTTATCTGTGGTTTCTCTTCATGGCCATTTCATAACTCATGCAATATCTAATTTTACCTAAACACATTATACTTCTGCTTTTTGGGAAAGAGTATTTTCACATCCATATCAAATATCTATGTGTCTTACTCTTCAAACACTAAAAAAAGGATGTAGTTGGAGAACATGAGAAATACAATCTTCCGCTTCTGCTTAAATGAGAAAAAATTTGGCTGACCTTTGATAAAATCTTGTTTACTTTACACAATGAGAAATTTTCCAGCTTTTATGTGATTTGCATCTAGTTTAATTAAAACATATAGCAGTGTCATATTTTCAATCTCAACTTTAGGAATAGTTAGGAATTTCAGAGTCCTGAGTCATGAAGACATTTTAACAACATAAGAAGCAAGTCAGTTCACAGCTATCCAAAACACTAGTTTTACTGAGTCAAAATTCTTGGCCAGTCAGTTTTCTGGTATTCTGAAATCACAGGGTGGGCACCCAGCACCGGTCAGGGTAAGGCACTTGAGCTACACATAAGGAACTGGGGAAAAGAATTCAGACTTGCTAGGTTTTTTACTTCTCCATGAGGCAAACAATGTGGGTGTTTATTCTGCTGATGAAGGGTCTTTTGTGAAGATGCATCATCTGTCTGGTTCGATTTCACCAATAAAAGCAGGAAGTAAACATGGCAAGGTAAAGTCTTGGCATAGTGCTATTACATTCTCATCTTTATTTCCTTTTATATATTCAGTTAGTCATTTTGTGTTTTTTGCCTCAAAAGGAAGGATTCTTGGATGAAAACAAAAAAGGCTGTGGATTTAGA